AAAACATTTTTGTAAATAAAGGGAGGTAATTAGAAATTTATTTTTTAATAATATGTAAAGCCAGTGTTTTTTTTCCAATTAAAATGAAATGCAATTAAATTTTAATGTTTGGTTACAACGTAAATAATCATTTTGCTGTACATATTTTACATATTCCTTGGATGTTGGAAATTGTTTTAAGAGAATAATTATATACTTTTATATAAAACCCTCACTTAACTGTTACGTTAGCATCCTTAATTACTAACATACAGAACCTTTAAATACAGATGTATGAGTTCAATTGCCTCAACGTGCACTTCCCTCTATGTAAGGATATTGGTTGTCTAATCTGGTTTCCTTTCTTCTTTTTTAACTAAGATGATTATTAACAGATTGTAGCTCATAAATCATTGGATAATAATGGCCAAGAAGTGTTGACGGAAGGACACTGCAGTCACTATATGCGGGGACATAAACAAGCACTCAATGACCTGACGTGTAAACTGGATAAAAAAATCATGTATACTTACTCGATGTGCAAAGTAAATAGCACATAGTCCAGTGGGACAGAAACAGCAAAGGCACGCCAGAATGGATGGTATCATGTAGTCTGGTGGACGTGATTGAGTCATGATGATACCGGGTTGACCTGGTTGGGTAATTACCTGAAATGTTTGGAAAGAAAAACAACGTGCTGTCAATGTAGGGTATATATTCTTTTTTAAATTACTATAAAGCTGACAGTTACATACTTAAAGCGATCGAAGGAGTACACAAATATTTTGCTTAAAAAGTCTAGTTACAGTTATGCAGATTGTTATATCAACATTTATGACCACTCGAAACTGAGACATCTGCAATAACGCCAGGTTTTACGTCTGACTCTTGAGCCAAGCATGTCGAGGTTTTTTTTAGAGCTATATACATTTTTTTATCTAAAAGGCAACATTCCCTGTTTACGTTTAAATAATGGTTTTAGAACATTCTAGATGCTTATCACCTGATGAAAGCTGCCATGAATGTAAAATATTTGTCATTTAATCAGCAAAATATAAAAGAAAGAAGTATTTTCACTCTAAGATCAAACAGTAATTCGGGAAGTAGCATTTTTGAGGCAAAATGTGCCTTTAAAACCCCTAAGAGCATTCGTATTTTTTCTATATCGAGAATGTATTGTCGCTTGATGTCAAATGCAAATATTTAGTTTTTTTTTTATAAACACCACGTTCCTTTCATCGCCTATGTATTTTCGTGCTTCGCGTACTTTGATATGGAAAGTTGGATGTACAAAATCCTAGACGGTTAAGACGCAAGGTGATGCGCTTCAACGAACAAAAATAAAAGTGATCCCCACAACAAAATTACATGAAAATTGCAGACTCGGTTTGATTGAGTCTGTACATGAAGGATAATGACAAAGTGCAACATCCGTCACGCCCCCTAACACCGACTGAGCGGTACTCAATTCTCAACACTTAATAGTGCTCGCATTTCTCCCCCACCACCAACACTCAACAGGCTGTCATGTTTGTGGGTAAGATTTTATATTTTATTGCTTTCACGAAGGATGTCATATATAACGTACCCTGCACGCTTATTAGCATATAATATAAAGACTTAGTAGCTGTTATTAGAATGCCGAGGGTTTCCGAATGAGTTTGTACATTCATAAGTGAAATGCAATGATTTTGTTGTCGTTTAGGCAAGCAGTTTTTTGTAGTTTACTTAATTCACGTACAATAAATACGTATATATGCTTTAAATAACAACTATGATACTTTTAACTAAAGTTAAAAAGCATTCAAATTTGGCAAATTATTTAATTAATATACATTGTCATCGATAATTGTTAACTGTATCTAAATTAATAAAACTTTAAGCCGGCGATTTTTCATATAGACTAAGTAATCATTTCCGGACAAAAAGTGTCACAACAAACGCCGGAAATATGACACCCCCTCACACTCAATTAACTCACATGATTATTTAATTTGATGTTATTAATATTGCTGTATGTACTCGTACGCCTGCTGCCACGATGGCAAGTAAAACATATTACCATGTGCACGTGACGTGACCAGTGCAGACTTGGATCAGTGGGCACATCCGTTCGATCTAATCAGGGTCTGCACTGTTCGCTATTCAATCAGTAAATTTACGAAAGATTTCGCAAAAATGAAGAATGAATAAAGGACATGTTCAATTACGATTGTTAGCATGGCAACGGTTAACTTACAGCGTTAGTTAATTTTATGCTGTTTGTGGCTGGGGGATGAAACATAATGGTTGAGGCATTAGAATTGCAGCCACCGTTTATCCCTGTTTGACTAAATGGAATCGAATAACTGGAGTCTATGCATCTCTTAGTTCCAGCAGGTGAGGTGGTTTAAACCTGAAGTTTGTAACACCCGAGGTTAACGAAAATGTATCACCTTTCCTACGTCATTCCCTGTGTTGGTGCGCCGTAAAACCAAACACATTGACTTGGTCGCGAAAAACGATGATCAATATTTCTACATGTATACTAAGTCAAAATAAAACCCACTTGTTATCAATGATTCCCCCGATGTATTGGAAATATGGAGGCTTGAATACGTTAAGCAAATATTATGTGTATGCGTGAATACAGATAAGAATTATTATTTATTTATAAATCGTTAATTCCATAATGTTTGTTCTGCTAAAGCAACTCTCTCATATTCTGGCATGTAAGAAAAACTTCCTGCTATAGTGAACTGCAAAATAAATTATTCGGTGTTGGGGAGGGGGGGGGGGTATAATTCATTGAATTAATATGACGGTTGGTACCATACATAAGGCTGTGTGTTCGTTGATTTTATTCATATGGTAGCTTTAATAGACTCGTTTCATGTTTTTTTCTATAAGAGTACAAAATAAGTGATATTGTCGTTATACTTTTAATATGTTTGTACGACTCAATATTCTTGTGATTAGTGTATGGCCACAAGCGTGCCAAATCAAAGAAAGAATTAGGATCAACACTATTGGAGATGGAGTCTGCCTCTCAACCCAGAGATCATGGATTCGAGTCATGCTCGGGTCACAATCATGTTTCTTTAAATGACACCAGTACTGCTTCGTTCTAGAAAGTGGACGCGAAAGTGATTGATTATAGTTGCAAGCACTTGTTTCACAACCGAGCTTAAATAAATATGTTTAAATGAACACTGTTTGCTGCATAAAATTAGTACGAGAGTTGTAGATAATGTTAAGAACAACTCTAATTATGACCCTTTATCAAAACGTATTTATTTGAGCATTTCCAACACGAATTAAGTTGACCTCTTTATTAGCTAATAGAATATTTCCACATTTTATTAAAAGTATCACAATATGACAGATCTGTGATTGTATGGGGGAATTCTTTAACAATCATCTTTTCCATGCCGTTTTTGCCACAAAACTATAAAGGCATCTCTTGTAAGAAGATTTCATATAATGTCCTACTTTCTACCTTAAAACTATCTCGGAATTTGCTATAAACTTCTACATGTACAACATTTCTATGTAAGGGCGATGCTCTTTTGACTTACTCAAATTGCACATGCGCAAAAATAGTACTTCCGGTCGATTTTTCAAATCGATAAAAATGTCTATAGCAAACGTTGTTCTTCTTACATATTTCATGATTGATTATTTGTTTAGACACGTATACTGACTCCAAAATGAACCAAAAATAGTTTCGCATTTCCTACAGATCTAGAGGGATTTTTGTTGTTGTTGATGTTGTTTTGTACTTCATTCTCAAATGCAAAAGATGAACCGGCTGTCCGGTCTATGAGTTAATTTTTCGGTACCTGTAACATGACGCATCATTGAAATTAAAACTTTTTGAGAAATAAATATTTTATAACTCTGGGGGCCTTTAAAGCTTATATGAAAACGGTTCAATTTCTTATGAAATAATAACCGTTCCGCACCAGCACTGCAGTTTTAAATCTGACACATTGTGCGTTCAAATTCAAGGTCAAATTTAACGGAAAAGACTGTGCTAATGTAGTAAACATAATCGTTTACAATTCTACATATAAAAGGCTTAAAACACTTGAAATATTCGACCCTTGGAAGTGAAGTAGTTTTCTACAACAGTTACATGTATGTTATTAAAATCTGTGGCTTATAAATACGGTATTTTGTTGTTGTGTAAAATATAAATGTATGTCAAACTTTGCATTTGTTATTAAGTCGCAATTATTGGTGTCTGGGTGTATATAAGTATATACTTCCTATGTATTAAATGCTTATCTAAGCATGACCAGTGAATACATGCAGCACGTAAACGAAAATATATTTGTTATAATGCATAAACTGTCTATATAAATTACACTACAATGTACATTATTTCAAATTTCTGCGTTAAACTACTTTCAGTTGTATCCCGGCGCCGTAGGAGAGAACTACTACTTTTGATTATTTAAACATTTGGTAGAGGTGCATTTAAATGGTTAATTAAAATTAAATACCCCGCTTAAATCACCCGAACTTCAAATTTGAACAAAATTTCAGCTATAAAAAAAAAATCGAAATATTTCGCATTGACCTGGATGTTCGGATAAAGAGGGAAGTCAAATGATGTCCCATTGCCCCAACACCCACCCTCCCTTATTTTCTTAACTCCCTAGTATTATATACGTACAACTTGCTGAGTACTGGTGTAAGGCTGACCAGGTTGCCCATATCCTGGTTGACCATACGGCTGTCCGGGTTGACCGTACGGCGGTTGTGCTGGTTGACCGTACGGCGGTTGTGCTGGTTGACCGTACGGCGGTTGGGCTGGTTGACCGTACGGCGGTTGGGCTGGTTGACCATAGGGCGGTTGTGCAGGCTGGCCGTAAGGCGGCGGAGCGTTTTGATCATGCTGACCGTAGCCTTGAAAATAAAATATGTATATAATATATACAAAATTTAAAAGTGATACGTAATAAAATTTTGGAGAGATCGTAAATTTTCTTTAAAGTTTCATTAAGTGGCTTAAAAAAAAAATTCATGACTATACAGTTCCTTAAAGTGGAAAGCCCCCAAGGTTTGGTAAAGTTTTACATTTTTCCCCTATTTGTTTTCAATTTTAATAAATATACAATAACCCACGTGACACATGGAAATTTCTATTTATATCCTTAAGAATGTTTCGTAGACAGTCTTTTTGTGTTTTACGCAGTTTTCATATTGTATAATAGACATTTGAAATTAACAATTATTCGGCCAATCTTCATCAAAATTGTCGACCTTTTGAAATGTATATATAATTCAACTAAAGTTGTCATAAAAAATGAATAAAATTAATAACATGTGCATCATGTGACTTTAAAGTTACACACTGCAAAAGGTAATTATTCAACGATGTTTAAGTTGACTTCTGTCTTCACACAATAAATGGCAACGCCCTGTCGTGAAAATCGATATTGATACAGCTAAAGTACAATTTAAATGGCCGAGTTTTCCGAGGGTTTTTTATGACTGAAGTGGACTGAAAGTTTATGATAAACCTTTATCAATTAATGTTTCTTTTTTTATATCAGACATACATACAATGCATATGAAAAAAAACACTTACCTTGCTTTTCGGAACTCATCGTGTAGCTATACACAGTATAATATTAAATTCTGTCTTTCTCCTTATAAACACACAGGTATTTGTTTATCAACAAATGTTTATAGGATTTCCGTTCAATTGATAGAGGAACGTCACTGCGCATGCCTGTCACGCTGTTACAGAAGAAAAAAAAAGTAAGGTGTCATATGGCAGATTAAAGATAACGCAGCAGCGTAGCTGTTTGGATCTCTTCTGTCTCCCCATTAACAATCTAAATTAATAATTGGCAACTCAGTTTATTTAAATATATGAAAGACAGAAAGTCATGACCTTGAAAATAACTTAAATATACAATTATAATGTTCAATTAGCACGAAAAAGAAAAAAGCAACGAAAAAAGATCGCAACGGCCGCTGTGGTGTAGTTGAAATCATACTTTACCATTAATCCAGAGACCCGTACGTGGTGCGAGTCCCGGCTGCGATTTGCCAAATTTTCGTGTGTGTTTTCTCTATATACCCTTAAAAGTAAGTGAAAATATGGGGAATAGAATAAGGGAGATAAAATACTTAAATAGTCCTATAGATCTACTGCTCCTGCTGATGGTGGTGGTGATGATGATGATGATGATGATGATGGGGAGGAAAAGGATGGTGATAATGATATTGATGATGATGATGTTTATGGTCATGATGATGATAATAATGATGATGATGGTGATGATGATGAGAAATGAAGGATAAAAACATAATTATTACATATAAAATAGCAGGTGAAAATTATTTTTTTTAATAAGAAAAACACAATTATGCATAAATATCAATTCACTTCTGGGTCAAATCTAAATTTAGATCAAAATTTAAATTAAATGAAAACGTTACTTACATTTTGGCGTCCTTTAAATAGAGAAAATTAGAATCCCTAAAGAAAATCCAACACAACAAAATTGCAAATGTTGCAGGCTCGGTTTGATTGAGCCTGTTCATGGACGGTACTGTCAAGTGCAAACTACCGTCCACGCCCCCTAGCACCGGCTTAAGCAGAATTAAACATTTAACACAAAATGGTGAAATTTTGAGTTCATACGGCGGTTATCATAGTTATCTTAAGTCTCCTTAAAGTTGTTCATTTGCCAATTACCGTAACCATCTTTCGCTGTTATTTTGTGTTTTTCTTGGTAATTTGTATGGAACAAGTCATAATATATAATGTGTTCAATGAAAACAAACACTTTTCTTTACCTTTCGACGTTAATTCTTCAGAAAAAAAATGACGTTTATAAAATAACAAATGACGCAACTTCCGTTTAAAAATACGCTTAAAATAACGTGACGTTAACGCGGGAATAAAAACTTTGTCAAATAAATACAGAATCTTTCATGAACATAAATATAGCAAATTACATGTACAATAAAAAACACATAGAATAATGATCTGCACATGTGATTAAAAAATTCTTATAATGAATAACAATAAAAAAACCTTGATACATGTATGAGAAAAAACATTCTACATGTATATGTATACCGGCTCAATAATTAGTCTTGAAAGATGACAACGTTCTACACTGTACTCATACCATTAGAAGATAATGTCTAAAGCTTATGAATCCAGTATGATTCTTGTAATAAGCGTTCCATATCATCGGAGACAATCTCTATAGTAACGGATCGGAACACTTCTTGATACATTCATGCGTTTAGACACTTGTTGCTTTGTTTGACCAACTTATTGCTGTTTACATTTATCACATGTGACAAGGTATAAAACATTGTTCGTAGAACAATCAGTATTATTATTTGCATAATAAATCTTGCCAGGAATATTAGTACTACTAAATATATTACTTTCAATAATGGAGCTGCAATGTGTACATCTACTTCTATTACATCTGGATGATTTTTGTTATTAGACCTAACATTAGAATTAATAAAAATGTCTTATGGTTTTTTTTCGCAAAGGTTTACTTTCATGAAGCGTTTGCACTGAACATTTAGTTGAAAGTTTAAGTAATCCAAATTCTTTTTAATGATATTACCAATATTAGGTAAAGTTAGGTTATACTCAACAACAAAGGAAATAACACTGCCTTCACTTGTATAGTTATTAGTACACAGGGCCTCATCTTGTGTTAGATAAGTGCATTATCAATAACATTTGTGTTTTGAAGTATGTACGTAAATTCTGTAAAGAATCTTTGAAAACATTATCCTTAGAAATGATACGGCGATAATGGTTTCCATTTTTTTAAGGAATAAGTAAAAACATATGTACATTTTGCAACCTTTATGACAAATAATACAATATTCAAAAATGAAAATCATCTGACTGTTGTTTAAACATTATAAAACTCACGTTTGTCCCGTTAATTTGTGAGAAAAATACTTGGAGTCATCGGAAACTGTAACAGCTCCTTAGAAATGAGTCCAGAGATTCAAACGGACAACTCATGCGAGACGCGCAATATCATTTTTAACTAACATTAACTAAAATTTAAAGCTCCTTAATCACTCATATTCATCTTTAATTTTATTTGATAAAGTACTTTTACAAAAAATGATAAAAGAAAAAAATCCTGTAATTCTTATTACAATAAACAAAATTTCAATGACAGATGTTGTATCAATGGGATATTTTTTGTGACCAACTATTGGCCGTCTACGAGTATTTCAGGAGAATTCGGGAGCGTGTATTTACATGTATACAGGCCTGTTTGTTTGTTTGTTTTTATTTTTGATTGTTTCAGAGCCTGGACCCGTGCTGAGCTTTCTGTCAGTCAAAACAATGCATGCCTTGCGGCAATTTGCTGACACAAAGTGTTAGAATATATACCTCGGAGTCATGCAGGCACTATCAGTAGATTATTCTTGGTCAATGTAGAGGCAGATTCAAGCGTCTGCTTAATACTGAGTAAATTAGTCCCGTACCCTTACTAGATCTATAGCCCTCAAAAATGTGATGATGATTTTCCGTATATGTATTCGACTAGATCTAATGCCTAAATTAATTACTATGTATAGAAAATACAGAGGCGTAAGTGATTCAAATTTTTAGCCAAAGAGCATTTCTAGATCATTTCCATTTTTAGGGTTAAGTTTGAATTTTGAACAAACAAGTTTACAAACATGGGCGATTCTAAATGCCTGGGATGGACTCTTAGTACTGCCCACTTATTTCCATATACAGTACCTAGAAGAATTTACACCAGTTAAGTGCGCATGTTTAGCTCAGAAGGGAGATTACCGAATTGATAATCCAGGGATATCCTGATGTATCCTCAGACAAGACATCATGTCCTATGGTTATTTGTCTATATAGTTATAGTTATGGTTCTTAAATACTGCACTTCCTCTCAATGTTCTCTATCACTTTGTGAAGTTTAAATAAAATTCCTTAACACTTTTCAAGTTATTCTCCGGACAAGAGTGTGACAAACAGACAGACGTGCGGAAGGGCAGACGGATGGATGGAAAGACGTATAAGGCGGCGACTATATGCTTTTCATTTCGAGGAACATAAAAATGTGCCCATTTCAGTCAAATATATTTTAAATAAATGACAACGTACTTGTGAAATCGGTTTGATTTTTATATAACCGTTGGCAAGCACCGGGAAGAGCACTTGACTTCTGTTTTTGAGGTGTAACATAAAATATAACGCTGTTATAACAGAACTTGATCAAGTTTGTCTTAAATGTAATATTCCAGCTCAGCGAGAAAAATAAGATAATCATATTATAAAACTATTATGAGTGCTGTCTGGAAACCTTTTAAAACAGTAAGTATACCACATGTGTACTCCTCACATGATAAAGGCGTATCTTCTTCGAATATCGCCGCAGACAGACACTTGTTGTATATTTTTTGCAGACGTAAACAATACACTCAAAAACAGCTTGACATTATCAAAAATACGAAAATATAAATATGCATCATAGTTCCCTCTGACAGAGTGATTGATAAGCTGTTTTCTATTGAACACCTTGAGAAAATTAGTTTGTTCCAGTTTCCATTATATGATAATGTAGCGCACCAAATAGCCTTGGGCGTAATATAGGACGCTTAAAGGCACATTATGCCTCAGAAACAATTTAAGAAAGGGCAAACATGGATTTCATAATGTTAAGATAATGGTTTAGAGAAATGTTATATGTTTTTTACCCCACAAGGTAGCGATAAATGTGAAATAATTTGTCATAAAAGTAGCAAAATGAAAACTAAGTATATATACTGACTTCTATACAAAATACTAATTCACTATAACTGTACTTATTGCCAAAATGCAAAAGATAAAAAGATGGTTCAGGTAACTGGCCAATGAGTAACCTTTAGGATACTACAAAGGTACACCAAGAGCTTTTGTGAAATTAAAATAAAAGCATTTCTGAGGCATAATGGGCCTTTAATATATGTTAATACGAAGGCAAATATTATCTGCTCTTTGTTTTTGTCCAATGTGATTGGCAATAGTAACAATTTATAACTGAATTTCAATACTTTAAAGGGCGAATATCATGGTAACACCAAATTCCAAGCCAAACTGAGGTTCAAAGGAGCCAATATCAGGCTCACTTTTTTTCCTCAGAGCTGGCGAAGAAAGAGTTCACCCATGCGACTTGTACAGACCAAGATCAGCAAGGTTATCAACGTTGTCTGGTTATGGTCGGCAGTGTTCGCTGTCATTTTGTACATGTGAAATCTTCCCTAAAAATAATAAGTGTTTTTGTCAAGATTTATATTCAATTTGGACGATGGACAAGTCTATTTTGGATTGCAGACCCTAATGGTTTCAAATAAGAATCAGCTTTTTAATTAACTTTTATTCTTTTCTATATAATATCAGATATTTATTTTTCATATACGAGTATTAGAACATTTCTCCATCCGATTTGTTATTATTATTAATCTATAGTGTCACACCCCATCTTCGCATTTTTGCACTTTTGTAAACACTTTAACCATCAAGATATTTTACTATAAGTATTTTACTATATCATTATTGCGTTTGAACAAGAAAAAAATGGCTTAGCTAGACTTTCTAACTTGCATTAATATATCATTTATGTACATTTCTGTATGTTTTTAAACACAACCATACTTTTCCTTTGCATATCTCAGCTAGTTTCTAGAGCGAAAAATAAAACACTAATAAAGACACTTAAAATATTTAGTTGCTTTGACCTCTCACATTCTACCAATGGACCACGGGCTTCCAATGTATTATAACGACACAGCATGAAACCAAATGATCGCGGCGATTTGACGTGATTTTACGTGGTAAAGGTGTCGGACTAGTAATCTAAGGCCGCGTGGATCACACCCCGTCAGAGGCAAGCCGTTGTTTCCATGAGAAAAGAACTTTGCACTCATTGCTTAGTTCTGGTTGGTCCAAGAAACGGATTCGAGTGTGTTTCAATAAGTTTATAGCTTCCAAAACAATCGAATAAAAATGAATTTGCACTAAGCAAAATTATTCTAAATTAACTTTAAAGAAATTAAGCAGTGTAAACGTTCAAATATATTTTGATTTTTTTTTGTGGCTAACCGTTAAAACGGGTAACGTCACGGTCTACGTAATACATCTCATTTGCATATTTCGTCTGCTTTCAATAAAAATCCAGAAAATGTGCTCCAGTTGTGATGTATTGTAAACGGTTTTGAGCCCCAAGGTCCGTGTTTGACCATTTTAACAACATCGCCAACTTTGAGAAGGAGTACTGCCATATTGCTACCAGACGCTTGCGCGGATCCGCCAGAGTATATTAGCATTTTGCTGTTGCCATTGACCTGTAGGACTGTTTCAATAATAAGTCCCCAACCAGCCAGGATCGTGCTGAAGAAGACATACAAGCCAGCTTTGGGGGCAACAAATTCTCCAGTAGCGTTGTTGTATGCCCCTCCTTCGTTTGTTTCAACGTTCGAAAATATAATAGTCGCCCATGGTGCGATACCAACAATTGTTGGAGAAACCCGCGCAAAGAATGCAATATGGGGTCCCTTGCCACTTGGTTCTAAAGGATCAATAGAATCTGAACTTTTATTAACCTCACTAAATAATCTAAGACTTTCTACAGACTTCTCTAAAACGTTCAACTCTTCTCTTTCCTCGTTTCTTTTACTTTGAATAGCTTTAAGGCCCTGTTCTTGAGATGTTATCGCTACCTTTACTACGCCAAGATCAGTTTGTTGACTTGCGATTGTTTCTTCAAGATGTTTTCGTCTGTTTCTTTCCTCGATAAGCTCGGCCCTCAGTTTATCTATTTCAGCGTTCAGAGAGTCTTTCTTTTTCTCTTCGTCATTCAGCGTCGCGCGGAGAGCGTCAATTTCTTTTTTAAGAGATAGTAGAGTGATGGCGGATGCGGTTTCAATTTCTGTTTGAATGGAAGTGCAGGGTACTGAAATAGAGTATTTAGAATTGACTTTGTATTTGGCTTATTTAGAGATTGTACATATTATTCTGATGCCGTTTTCAACTGCATGACACTGAAAAAGAGAAATTCTAGGTAACCGTATCTTAAGTAATAGAATGTTCTTTGATGTAATAAAGTAATAAAAGAAATGTTTCAGTAACAGGCAGTTTACCTGATATAGAATTGTGATGACATTCACTTTAGTGACAATTTCTTTTCTGTAAAAGGGGCATAGCTCTATCAATGATTAGCTTATTGTAGCCAAAATCGAACTTGACCTGTGTTTTAATATAACAAACATGTATCTGTGAAGCATAAACACAGACACTGAAATCTTTTAAAATTATGCAGCAGAAAACCAATAATTTCACATAAATGTGTGGTGTAAAAGGGGCATAACTCTATTGTCAATAAGTTGATTTGCAACGAGTCATTTAAATCCTTCAAAAGTTATCCTTCCGCAACCAGGGGATCAATGATAAGATGATTAAAGCGAAAACCTTATTTGACCTGCGTTTTGATACGTATATTTACATGTATACACACTCATTAAATTCCTTCAAAATATGTCCTGCAAAAAACTAGTTGTATATGCGTAGATGGACGAACGGACGGACAAACGGTTTGAGAGGCGCGCGAAAGGACAACGCTATATCATATAACGCCCAAACGTTTCATCCTAGCGTTTGAAAACTTTAAATTATAGAATGCACAATTGCACAATTAAAACGTGGTTTTAAAATTATCATAAAAATTTTCAAAAATGAGCATCAAATTTATATGCTTACCTTCTTTTTCAGGGTCCATCCTTTTGCAATTTTAACACTATGCATACAGGATACACCTTTAGTAAGTCATTATGTATACATCTTAAATTTATTGATGTAAACACGACACATTCCATACATACATGTATACGTGTTACTATTTATATCGTCGTGTTTAACATAGTCTGGTTTACTATTTATGGTACAAGTTTACCCGGGTAGTATCAGGGGAAGGAACTCCAGAACTTCGCTAATTGTTGTTCTTTATAATAATAATAATAATAATAATAATAGGGTCTAATAATAATAATAATAATAATAATAATATTAACAATAATAATAATAATGATTATGATAATAATAAAAGTAATAGTAATAAAAGTAACAATAATAATAATAATAATTAAGCGTATAAATAATTTAAATAAATTATAGAATAAAAATTATATAAAACATACATTGAAAAGCCTATCCGATTTCCTATATATAATTTGAGTCACAAAAGACATCAAGCAGACGAAAGGAAAATCTAATATACCTTATTATCGGCCCAAATGATTAAAACAAATCTATTTTGAACTCAGATCTCTGAACATTCTTGTAATTCACCTCTACATTGACATTCAATTTTTAACATGCATTCGTTTTAACTATTGTCTTAGTACAGGCTAGAAAGTGTACATACCAAGTTCATGCTGAAGCTGAAATTTTAAGGTAGCAGGAAAAATATAAACCGAGTTTCGACCTGGTACATGTAAATAACATACAGTGAAATATATTTGATATCTGTCATTCAGTAAATACAGGTAGATAATTTGTTAAATAACTTCAATTAAAAAAAAAATGATATAAAGATATCATGTGCAAATAAAGAAAGAAAGAAAGAAAGAAAGAAAGAAAGAAAGAAGTTATAAATAAATAAATAAATAAATAAATTTATTTAATAGAATAAAAAATGAATAAATAAAAAAAAAGTTTTACATAAATAAGTTATAAATAAAAAATGAATAATAAAAAGATAACGCCGACTGTCCTGATACAGTGTATTATTGTAAATCAAATTAATTTCTTAAATAACGTATAATTAATTCCGTGTCGTCTGACACAAAAGATGCTATATCCGCTAACAAAGTATCGTCTTACTAATCAAATAAATTTCGTAAAGGACATGTTAATTTAGGACTCATCTGGATCATAATAACCACTTTCAGACTTTCATACAATAAATCTTATAACGGCTGACTTTTTAAAGGCACATTATGTTCCAGAAACAAATGAAATTTAACTTCTTTAGAAATGGAAAATGTTATGTTTTATAATATTCAAATAATGGTTTTAGATTTATCTTGGTTGCTCGACATTCAAAGACACAAACGAATGTCGCGCTGAAAGACGCCAGCTGCACACCCCATCTCGACATTCAAGAAATAAACCGGAAACGAATATCGAGCTGAATGTCTAGCCAGCTTCACATTCCAGCTCGGCATTGAAAAAGAGACAAAAAACGAATGTCGAGGTGAAAGTTGTGCTGAATGTCTAGCCAGCTTAACATCCCAGCTCAACAGTGATAAATCGAATGTCGAGCAGAATGTTTAATGTCGAGCGCTGAGTCAACTTCATGGACTTATTAAAACGAAAGTGCTAGTAATTGACCAAAGCGTAACGTTTTGGACACTATAAAAGTACACAAACATTTAAAAAAGATAAATAAAAATAAGAGCATTTCTGAGGCATAATGTGCCTTTCATAAACCATAATGAAAGGGACAGCGGTCATACGCTTTTAGTATGATACTTATTTTCCAAATTAAACTGATTGGTGGAAGAGATATATTGCATTTTTCTTTAAAGTTTTCTCTTGCATATGCGATCCAAACGCTAACATTAAGTTCGATGCCATCTAGTTAAATAAGAAAGAACGTGTGGGTAGTCTTATTGTAATGATTTCCCGCCAAAAAAATCAAACATCGACCAATATCGTTGTAAAAAATAACGTTCCGGAAATGACCAATTTATTACGATATTTCTCGATGTTAGAAATTATTTTGGCGGGAAAGCATTGCAGTAAGAATACCTTCTTTCAGTTCATAAAAATATACTTTCATTTGCCCTCGTTTCACAAATATAACTTATCCGAAACATGCGCGCAATTCCGGAATCTATTTCCCATCACGTGTAACACTTCCTCCTCCGTGCATGTAAAGCACAGAATGGAGATTACCGAATTGATAATCCAGGGATCTCCTGATGTATCCTCAGACGAGACATCGAGTCTTATGGTTATTTGTCTATATAGTTATAGTTGGTTCTTAGATACTGCACTTATTCTGACTGGTCTCTATTACTGTTATTCCCCGGACAAGAGTGTGACGAACAGACAGACGTGCGGAAGGACAGACGGATTGATGGATGGAAGGAAGGACGTATAAGGCGGCGACTATATGCTTTTCCTTTTGAGGAATATAAAAATGTGCCCATTTCAGTCCAGTTTATTTCAAGTAAATGACAACGTACTGGTGAAGTCATGTAGATTTTAATACGCACCGGGATGAGCACGTGACTTCTGTATTTGAGGTAACATAAAATATAACACTGTAATAACTTTTGAACTTGATGAAGTTTGTCATAAAGGTAATATTCCAGCTTAGAGAGAAAACTAAGATGTGAGCCGCGTCACGACAAAAACAGATACAGTTTACTTCTTAAGAAATGGCAAACATGAATTCCATAATGTTTAAATAATTGTTTAGAGAAATGTTAGATGTTTGTTACCTCAGAAACGTAGCGATAAATGTGAAACAATGTGTTCTAAAAGTATCAAAATGAAAACAAAGTACATGTAGTATATTGACTTCTATACAGATAACTTATTCACTATAACTGTACTTATTGCCAAAAAGCAACAGATGGAAAAAATGGTTCAGGTTTTGGGCCAATGAGAGTAACTTTTTGGGTTCTATAAAAGTACACCAAGAACTTTTAAGAAACTAAAGTAAAAGCATTTCTGAGGCCTTTAAAATGTACTACGAAGACAAATATGGTCTGCTCTTTGAATGAAACTCTTCCTTTTTAACAAGGTTATCGGCAATGGTAGGAATTTAAAATGAAGTGTAACACTTAAAAGGCGAATATCATGGAAGCACCGAATTCCAAGCAAACACTGAGATTGAATTTCAAATTCAAAGGAGCAAATATCCAGCTCACTTTTTTCCTCAGAGCTGGCAAAGAAAAGTTCACCCATGCGACTAGTATATATTTTAATTTTTGTGGCTAAAATCCGACCAAACCCGTTTTAACGACGGGTAAACGTGACGGTCAACGTGATACGTCTCATTTGCATATGTCGTCTGCTTTCAATAAAAATCCAGAAAATGTGCTCCAGTAGTGATGTATTGTAAACGGTGTTGTGCCCCAAGGTCCGGTTTTGACCATTTTAACAACATCGCCAACTTTGAGAGGTAGCACTGCCATATTGCTACCAGACGCTTGCGCGGATCCGCCAGAGTATATTAGCATTATGCTGTTGCCATTTACCTGCAGCCCTGTTTCAATAATAAGTCCCCAACCAGCCAGGATCGTGCTGAAGAAGACATACAAACCAGCTTTGGGGGCAACAAATTCTCCAGTAGCGTTGTTGTATGCCACACCTTCGTTTGTTTCAACGTTCGAAAATATAATAGTCGCCCATGGTGCGATACCAACAATTGTTGGAGAAACCCGCGCAAAGAATGCAATGCGTGGTCCAATAGCTTTAAGACCCTGTTCTTGAGATGTTATCGCTACCTTTACTATTTCAAGTTCAGTTTGTTGACTTGCGATTGTTTCTTCAAAATGTTTTCGCTTGTTTCTTTCCTCGATAAGCTCGGCCCGCAGTTTATCTATTACACCGTTCAGAGAGTCTTTCTTTTTCTGTTCGTCATTCAGCGCCGCGCGGAAAGCGTCAATTTCTTTTTTAAGAGATAGTAGAGTGGTGGCGGTTTCTGTTTGAATGGCTGAAATAAGAGTATTTAGAATTGACTTTGTACTAGGCTTATTTAGAGATTGTGCATGTCTGATTTTCCAACTGCATGACACTGAAAGACAGAAATTCTTGATAACCGTATCTTAAGTAATAGAATGGTCTTTGAAGTAATAAAGTAATAAAACAAATGTTCCAGTAACAGAAAGTTTAACTGTTAAAGAATGCTGATGACATTCACTTAAGTGACAATTTCTTTTTTTCTTAAAAAGGGGTGTAACTCTATTATCAATAATTGGTTTGTTGTAGCCAAAATCGAACTTGACCTGTGTTTTAACAAACATGTACTTGCCAAGCATAAACACAGACACTGAAATCTTTTAAAAGTTATGCAGCAGAAACCAATAATTCACATAAAAAGGGACATAACTCTATTATTAACAAGTTGATTGCAACGAAAGTCATTTAAATCATTCAAAAGTTATCCTTCCGTAACCAGGGGCGTGGAAATCCAATAATAATAATATGATGATTACAGGCTGAATATTATTGTCAATTAAACTCTGAATTCAATTTGCAACATGTTTTGACAATTTCGGCTAATATTAGCGAAGGTATATGTTCAAACTTAGTAAAAATATGACACTGGTTACATTATGTAATAGTTAAAGTATAGGAAAAGAGTCGGATATAACACCGGCTGGGGCGACATCAAAGGATGTTCCTGCTAAAAAAAATGGCGAGGCCGTTAGGCCGAAACAATATTTTTCAGAAAAATCCTGAGATGTCGCCCAGCCAATGTTATATCATCGTAACTAACGAGTTTCATATACTATAACTATTTTATCGCAATGTCATGATGTTTTTTTTTGTTGTTGTTTTTTTGTAACGAAAATAAATAAATAAATAAATCGTTAGCAACATTATAGCTATTTATGATAACACAGTTTTTTCAAGCTGTTTTCGCTGCCGCAAAAAAAAGATATAGAAAAGACACCCAATGTTAGAGGCAGATTGTAAAATGTTACCAACGTTGATTCAAGATTTAAGGGCTTTTTTCAGTGGAAATAATTTATTCAACGGATGTACCTTTTGATTAAATAAGAGTAAATTTCATATCATTAATAAGAGGTTAATACACGGCAGGAGAGGGCCGGAAGGTGATAATCGGCCCGTAAAATGAATAATGGACCCGAGGGCTTTAGCCCGAGGGCCATTATTCATTCAGGGCCGATTATCACCTTCCGACCCTACTCTGACGTGTATTAATGTCTTTAAAACACTTGGTAGATCTAATAGTAGCATTTTTTTTTTTTTTTTTAAAACAACAAAGTTCTGTCGTTGAAATTCTTGTCTACTCTTCTACTATTCTGTGCAGAGATGTTTACTGTTTATAGATGTTTGTGTGTTCAAAGCAGTAGAATCTAGAAGCAAGTTTTTGTTTGTTTTTTTCGGAATGAATTTGTCGTATTATTTCTTCAAATTTCAATAGTAACAAAAATGTGTTTGTACTAAATACGCTTAAGCTCTCATAATAAAAATAAAGCGATTCGTGCTGACAACCTACTTTCACTTTTTACAGTTTTAAATGTTTTATGGCGTTAAAAAAATACGTCATTTTTTTCAGTTTGTGCACGTGGGACCTGTTCCCGCGGGGTGATAAAATATTCTGGCCCCCGGGGCCCCAAAAATCATAATGGGCACGTGACACTAAAAATCAGTTGAAATCCAAGGCCCAATTTTTTTACTAATATAAGTAACAAGTGTATTTAAACTTTGGTTAAAGTTTTTATTGTTTTTTTTTTTTTAAATTTTAATTTTTTTTATTTAAATTTTTTTTTATTTTATTTTATTGAAAAAAAATTTTATATATTTTCGAGTCCCCTGTTAAAAAAAATTTAAAAGATAAAAAACATTTGGGCCGGGAAAAAAACTCAAAATGCTATTAAAAGCATTTAAGGGGTTTTTTCCCCATTTGAATCAATTAAAAACTGTTTCTTTCTAAAATTTTTTCAAACAAATTTTAATGCTCATTTTAAATGTATGAGTTTTAAAGGGGTTAGTAAGAAAAAGAAAAAGTCGAAAAAACCAAAATTTGGGGGAAATTTAAAATGTTGAAATTCATGTTGGGGGCCCTAATTTTTTTTATTATATAACAAAAGCAAAAAGGGTTTGCATGGCCCATTTCCCCGCCCCAATTTTTTTCCCCATGGAAAAAATTTTAATGTAGGTTTGAGCAAATATTCAATTTAAAGTGGGATTTTTTGGGAATGTGAATACTGGGTGGCTGAAAATTTAAAAAAGGGAAATAAATGAAAGATAATGCTGGGGAGGTTTTTTTATTCTTTTTTGTTTCTCCTCGTTTCCCCAATGAAACTAAACCATTTTATGAAGGTTTTAAGTTAAAACCTCTTACAAAATTTTTTGGTAAAGCTCCACTCAGGTGAAAAATTAAGTATGAAAATAACAAAAAAGGGGAATAACTAAAAATTATGAAGAGTAGAGTATTACTTTTATGCACTGCGCACCTCCTGAGTGAGATACATTCACCTATGAAGTTTCCCTGTTGATATCATCTCAAAGGCTTTTTTAGTTATGCTCTGGATAAAAAAAATAAGCATTGAAAAATAACAAAGGGCAATAACTGAAAAATAATGCAGGGTAGGTTAATTATTCTTGTGTGCTGCAATCCTCTTCATTGGGGATCTACCCCCCTATGAAGTTTCAAGTTGATACCCTCTAACACTTTTTGAGATAAGCTCCGGACAAAAATAGCACGAAAAAAAGAACAAAGGGCAATAACTCAAAAAAATTATAAAAGGGAAGAGTTAACATTCTTGCGCACAGCATTCCTCCTCAATAATGATCTATTCCACCTATGACGTTTCATGTTTGATATCTTAAACACTTTTGGAGTTAATGCTCCCACCCCAAAAGGGGGGGAAAAAGTTTTAAAATATTTAAAAATAACCCCAAAAAAAGGGGGGGGGGGGGGGCCCCCCCAACCCCAAAAATTTTTAACCTTTTTTCCAAAAAAAATTTATTAAAAGGGTTTTTTTGGAAATTATCAAATTTTTTTGCACCCGCACACTTTTCCCGGTAAGATCTATTCCCAACTATAAAGTTTCATGTTTTATATCTTTAAAGGCTTTTTTGGGTTTTCTCTGGGGCAAAAATTTTAAATTTTTAAAAAAATGAAAAGGGCCCAATAACTCAAAAGTTAGCAGGGTAGAGTTTTTAATTCTTGTGTTTGCAATTTCCCCTCAATGAGATCTATCCACCCATTTAAAGTTTCAAATTTATAAACCTCAAATACTTTGATAAAACTCCGGGCCCAAAAAAGCATGAAAAAGAACAAAGGGGCAATAACTCAAAAATTATAAAAAAGGGAAGAGTTTTAACATTCTTGGCGCAAAGCATTCCTCCTCAATATGATCTATCCACCTATGACGTTTCATGTTTGATATCTTAAACACTTTTGAGTTATGCTCCATCTCAGGGGAAAAGTTAAGTATGAAAAATAACAAAGGGCAATTACTCAAAAATTTATTAAAGGTAGAGTTATCATTTTTATGCACTGCAGACACTTCCTGAGTAAGATCTATTCATTATAAAGTTTCATGTTGATATCTCAAAGGCTTTTTTTGAGTTATGCTCTGGACAAAAATTAATTTTTTTCCTTTTTTTTTGGTTTTTTGTGCATTTTAATACTGGGGTTTTTTTTTTTTACTACTTTTTTTAAAAGTTAAAATAAATTTTAAAAATTCAATTTGTCATATTGACCCACGATTATAAGTCAAAAAATTTAACCGGAAAAAGCAGTAAATTATGTTTTAATCTTTTTAATATAAACAATTTTTGTTTTTCTTAAACCATGTTTTACCTGTACATTTGTATTTTTCTTTAAACAATTTTTTAAAAAAAATCAATTGAAAAAATTAAAAAAATTTTTATTTTTAACATAGAAAATTCCCTTTAGCATCTTTACTTAACGCGAATTTAAAAAAAATTATATAAAATTTTCAAAGTTTATGGTGTCATATTAAAAACCAAAAAAAATGTACCCTTTTTTTTCCAAATTATTGGGAAAATTTTTTAGTTTTTTTTATTCTAATATAAATAAAAAATAACAGCTATTGTTGTTGTTTTTTTTTTGAAATTTTTTTAAAAAGGTTTTTTTATTGTTAAAAAATAATCAAAAAATTTGAGAGTTGGTCTGTTTTATTTTTTATGTAACCAAACTAAGTGATTAAACATTCATTTTGGAAAGAAACTTATTTTTTCTGTAACGATATCAAAACATCTACTTCAAAACCCGGGAGGGGAAAACCCGGGCAGTAAACGTTAATAAATACCGGCCCTTTGTAAATAAACCGGGAGGGGGCCCGGGGAATTTAAAGAAAAGGTAGTACATTTCCCCCTATAAAAAAGATTTTTGGGGCTTTTACAAGTTAAGGGCCCCCCATTCTTTTTTCCCGCTTTTGGGTAATGTTTCAACAATAACATACCTAATAAACCACTGTTTCTACAAAATTTATTGATAAAAAATATACAAAAAAGGGGGAAAAAAATTATTTCATTTTAAAAGTTTGCATTGCGAAATTCTCCCAGTCCCAAAATTCATTGTACATATCGCGACATTTCCCTTTTTTAAAAAATCAAAAACCATCATCCCAATTTGGGAAAGACGGCTATCAAAAACCCGACAAAAAGCCCGAGAAGTTGCAATTCCCTTTCCCCATTCCATGAGGGGGGGCCCCGCTTTAGCGCGGACGCCCAAAGAAAAAGGGAAAAGCGAATTCAGCTGTAATTTTGATCCCTATATAAAAAATAGGGTGCTATGGTGGCTGGTGGGGCCACTTTGTCGTTTTTTTTCGGGGTTTTGACCTTGGCAGGGGCGGGAAAAAACCCAAAGGCAAAATCAGCCACCAAAAATGCAGATATTATTTAAAAACAAAATCGAAAGTAGGGAAAACCAAGGGGTGTATAAAGTATAAAAAACAGAAAAATTTACGGTGTTTAAAAGTGAAAATTAAACATAGTGAATTATGCCAATTTTCCTAGTTTTTTTTGAGCTGAATTTTACTTTCTATTTCAAAAGATTGACTATTAAAATGGTGTTTGACCAACAGTTTCTTTTGGAAAAGGTTTAGGATAGAATTTTAAATCTGCCTAAAATATAAATAAAGACTGCCCCATTCTTTTTATAAACTAAACGTTTCAGGTATGTTCTAATTGATATTTACAGAAATTCAGTTTCGATCCAGGGGTTATTTATTGTTTATATGAAGTAAATTATTAAATTAAAAGGAATTATGGCAAAATAAAACTTATTTTGAGTTTCACCTATTGACGCACTGTATACCCTTGAATGGGCATAATGTCACTTTAACCTGTCTAAATGCCTAAAACTGAATTTAATTTTCTTGATTTGAATTTGAACCGTAAAAATATAAACACTCACCATGTACATGAGCAGATAGCGAGCGGTACTCAAGCTGTAATGTCTCCAATTTTTGAGTATAAAATATCATCCCTAAACTGAGACAAAGAACTAAAAATGAGTATATATAATATGTCATATTTATACGTTTAATTTTTATAAATGTGTAAAATAATATCAAGATACTAAACAAGTCTTGCTAAACCGAAAGTAGAATTACCCTATATTAGTTTAATACATATGTACTTTTAAGGACGTGTTAAACCAAGCATAACATATTGATTTCGCGCTAGTTAACGACTGTGTCATTCGTACAGTAATCATTCGCCAATGACTACATATTATTGATTTTAATATTTATTTATTTATTCCAGTCTCATCTATACACAACATTATATAAAATACGTGTATATAGCCATTCTATAGGAATTAAAAGAGACTAAACATCTTTAAACATAATAGCACAAATAATAAAATCTTAGATTAATTATTAACCAGTGTTCACTCAATTTAGAGCGAAAACTTCATTTAACCAATGTTTTGATATAGTATTAGCATACGTATATGTACATGTATACATAGAATAGATACATTAAAAAAACCTATGAGAAAATAAAAAAAAGACATCAAGCAGACAAAATCATTCCTGTGAAAGGAAAATCTAAAATAGTATTACCGAATCATCGGTCTAAGTGATCTAGTTTGAACTGAGATCTCTGAACTTTCTTGAAATCTACCTCTACCGTGACATTCAACTTC